CCAGTATGGGGTGCTCATCCTGTGGTCTGTGTGATTCCTAATGCTCCAGTATAGTGGTTGGGAATTTGGGATACTATACTATAAAAAGGTGCCAGTTTTTTAATGAGACGTAAAACCAAGATCCTAACTCTCCGTGGTCATTAAAAATCCCAGGGCATTTCTCAAGAAGAGTCCTGGCCAACTGTTACGCTGGCCTTAACCAATCATGGCCTCCTAATAATCACCTTCTGTGAACTGGCGTCATCACTCTGTGCTCCTCCTCACTGATAACTGGTGTGTGGTGAGCGTACTGGTTTAGTTTGGCTGCTGTGGCATTCTATAGGTGGGGGCCACACAATCATTCTGTCCAGAAAAGCACTATGTAAGTGTGATGATGATAATGATTATTTTTATTATAACTGTCTTTTTCTTCTGTGTCTCTTTTAACATCTGCATTGCATGAGCTCTGTGTCCGAAAGTTAACATTTACAATGAAAATAAAACTCTCAAGAAAGACAACGACTCAAAAACGTGTGAAAAGAAATGTGTGACAGGCCTGGGGAAAACGTACTTCAGCTATCACAGTCACCAGTTTTCATAATTCCTCTGATAGGGTTTTTTAAATAGAGTGTAGTGAATACAGTAGTTTTTTTTAGCACAAGCTATCAGACAGAAAAATGCAGATCAAATTTTATTCAGGTGTGCAAGTATTGAATTCAGTAATGGGAAATGTAGCAGTAGTTTCAGTTGCAGCAGTTTCAATAAGTGAAGAACCATAATCCTGTAAATGTATAGAAATGTGTCTTCTTGATAGAAAACATTTATTATATTTGGGGATTTTTTTACTTGCTGAGCTGTTATTGTGATGATTGCTGTTTCATTTTATATTTTGTACTTAAGTGACTTCTTTTAGAAAATAAATGCTATTTTTTTGTGCTTTGGTGCCCATGCCTTCTCAGCATACACAAATTTATTTAACTAGCGAGACTGGGAACTGGTAAAGGCCCATGTATTTTTTTCATTTACGACAAGTTGCTTAATTAATCTGAATTGAACTGTGAGCTTTGTTGCTCTTACAGCACAAACACAAAACTCTGCTCATCATGCAGTTTCTAGTGGGCAATATTGTCAGTACTGCAGTGGCAAAACCAGCACAGGACTGCATTACTAAATTAAACCACAGGAGGGCAGCTCTACCTACTAGGACCCTGGAATGAGATGACTTGTACTTTTTCATCATTCCTTACAATAATGCCTTAAATTCGTTTTGCAAAAATTCACAGGGGAGGTGTCAATGAGGAAAACTCCCTATGTCCTAGATAAGCAGTAAGAGAAGAACTGCATCATCTCACTTCCCAGAATAACTTTATAGATGGTAGGCAGGTCAAACCAATTTTTGATTTTCTTGAATTCAAGAAGATTACTGGGTTTCAGTCTGGGTTTGGGAAGGTGGATAGATGGGAGATAAGAGACATGTCATAGCCAGTGCAGACGCTGCTATAGATTGAGTCAGTGAAGCCTGGTCTCTGCTGTGCAGTGTGCTGATTAAATTGCAAAAGCATAGATACACAGAGCTGTAGCATAGCACTACCTACAGTAGTCTAATACAGTGCACTTTTGGAAGCAGTTATCTTTATATAATAATTAGTATTTTCACTACATACTGTACTTAACACCTCTGCCATAGAGTTATTCCTGGTTCTAACTTCAGTGAAAGTGACTAAGAGTGTTTCTCCACCTGCAAAAATGGGGTGTCTGGCTGTGGGTTCCTTGTTTGAGTTCTAGTGAAGGTTAAAGGTTAAAGGCTGGTGCTAACAGCAGTGTGTCTTCTCAGGGTGCTGTCTGGACTCACTGACCTGATCCTCGCTCGAGTCCACAGCCATGCCACCACTGAGGAGCTGGCCAGGGAGGCTGCTGTTCCTGTTATCAATGGGCTGTCAGACCTGTGTCACCCCCTCCAGATACTGGCAGACTTTCTCACTCTGCAGGTAGGTCAGCACTGCATATACTGTACACAGCGTCCAGCGCTCCCTAACAGTGTCGAAATGAGAACATTCATGAAAAAGCAGTGTTGGAGTCACCCTTTCTGTCTTCTTTTTAAAGGAGCACTACGGTTATTTACGTGGGCTGACAGTGTCTTGGATCGGCGACGGCAACAATGTGCTCCACTCCTTCATGGTGACAGCAGCCCGGCTTGGAGTCCACCTCAGGGTCGCCACTCCTAAGGTCAGCCAGCTACAAGCAGTTTATTATATCTGCATTGCCTTGCAAAAATTTTGAGACCCATGCACAGTTTTCACATTTTCTTGGTTTAACATTTGTTGATATGACACTTTGAAGTAGCAGTCAATATGTTATACACCTGACTGAGGGCAGCAGGGTAGTGTAGTGGTTAGCATTACTGCCTCTCAGCACTGGTTTAATGCCAGACTTGGGGTGCTGCCATCACGTTTGCATGGTCTCCCTGTGTTTGCATGGATTTCCTCCAGATGCTCCAGTCTAAGAAATACTGGTACTGTAGGTTAATAGACCTCTGGCTCTGGTGTGAATCTGTGTGAGTTTGTGTTTGTGTCTGTCTGCCCTGCGATGGACTGCAGTCCTGTTGCTAGAAAATGGATGGATACACAACTGAATCTACACAATCAAGGGGGAAAAAAACAAAAAGAAAGACATGAATAGATAATTATATAGAACAGGAAAATGTAGTGATTGCATAGGTATTCAAACCCTGTGTGGTGGCATTACAATAACAAGCCACAAAATTAGTTGAGTTCAAATTAGTGGCTCACATGATTTCAGAATATATACATTTAATCTGAAGCAAATATTGAATCACATATACTAAGGACCTCTCTGGACTGCTCAAGGATAAAGGTGTATAAATGCTCAGCTCAGAAGAAGGGTATAAAAACATTTCAAAGACTGGCGGTACCTTTTATTAGTATGTTGACGTTGATCATTAAGAAATAAAAGGAACTCAGACCTAGATCAGGCTGTCCCTTCAAACTGAGCAGATCAAGAGGGAGGAAAGGTGTTAGGGATACCACTGTGAGGCCAATGGCATCCTAGAAAGAGTTACAGTACAACGTTCAGTGGCTGGGATGGGAGAAACGTGTTAAAATATGGTCAGTCCATAAAGGGGGCTTGTATGGAACTGAAAACACAAAATTTAAAAATCCTGTTTGGGGTTTGCAACAAAGCACCTAAGTGATCCTGCAAACATGTGACAAAATGTTTTGTTTTGCCAGAAAAGACAAAATTAGAACTTTTGGGGCTGAATGGCAGAGTCTTTCATTTTAACCTAACCAAACACACAGTAGTTTGTCACTCAGACAACACCATCCCTGCTATTAAGCATGCTAGTGGCAGCATTATGTTATAGTTCTGCTCTCATCAGCAGGGATTGAGGACCTTGTCAAGACTGATTGTACCAAAGATGAACCATACAGGCAGAATTTAGAGGAAAATGTGCTTCAGACCTATAATTGGGATAAAAATTCACCTTTTGGCAGGACGGTGCTTCAAAGTACAAAGTCAAAATACAGCGAACTGGCCCAGGAATAAGAAAGTGAGTGTCAAGTGGTGTAGTCAAAATCTAGTCAGACTGGAATCTTATTGACAGTCTGTGGAGAGACTTGAAATCTGCTGTCCATTAGCAGTCCCCTAGCAACTGGAAAAAGCATTTTTCAAAAAAGAATGGGTAAAAAGTACACCAAGCTGGTGTCCACAATTCATAGAGACCTACTCAAAAAGACTTGTAGCTGTTCTGCCAAAGTCTGCCACCACATATTTGAGGTAATAAAGAGTTAAAAAGTTTTTAGCAAGTTAAGTCTAAGTTTCTAGTTCAGTAAATACCGTAGCCTTGAGGTCCTGGGCGCCCTGCCTAGTTCCCAAGTGCATGACACCTGCACTCTTGTTTGTCTCATTTCGGTAGTCTTACTCTCACGGATCGAGCTCTGCCGCTAAGAAACCTTAATGATAAGAACTTTGTAACCTGCTCATTATACTACAGAATATATATGTTGGAAAGATGCGCTGCCGTTTGAGCTCCACTTTGCTATCTCGCTAAGTGTCTGCTCCTTGTGTACACAATAAAGATTCCTTTCTCTGACGGAACCCAAGTCAAGTTTCTGATTCAAAAGTGAAGTTACAGGTCTGAATAAATATACAATTAATATATTTCAATATTTTCTCTTAAGAGTTTGCTGCAATTTCATGTATCTTATCTTCATTTCAGAATTTACAGTAGGTTTTGAATACAATGGCGAGTTTAAAAAATGCATAAGCATAATTTTGGAATTGCACCAGATGGAACAACATAGGAAGGGCACTGTAGAAGCAGGTTTTAAGGTGGTGTCACTTATTCTGTAAAATAACAATTGCCAAATGGATATTTATATATATTGTAAAATAATACTAATTTAACCTAAGTCCTTCAAAACCATGATTCGGTATATGTACAATCTAATGTGAGTCATTTCATTGAGTAAGTATGTAAGGGTGGACTTAATGACTAAAAGCAGTTTTATGATTATTAAAGATCATCTTAAAAAGAACAATATGATTCTGTTTGCACCAGTAATTAATTACTATTATTAATTTTGTGCAGAAGATTATAATAATGTTTTTGTGCATCACAGAGATATGAGCCTAACACAAGTGTCATTCAAGAGGCTATACAACTCTCCAAACAGGTTTTTGTTTATCATTTGTTTGTATGACAGGTGATGGATTTTTCTGCTTTAACAGAGCCAAGCAAACCCCAAGCTCATTAATTTTATCCGAGAGGGGAATTGTATTGATGTCATATTGGAATGAAAGTTTCCTATTAAAATGCCTTAAATTATTAATGGCATGGATGAAACTGTTCAAGCCTACTGTAAATCATAGTATTATTTACCTCTTTTCTATTTTCCCCTTTTGCAATAACATGAAAGTACATTCACTAAATGGTAGACTGTTGGAAAACATGTTTGGCTGTTTGATTTGAATGAGGCAAGTTTTTGTTTTTAAAGAACAAATTTCAAAGTGTGTGACATGTATACCACCCATTGATGCAGGGTAAAAAAAAAGATTGTACTTTGTAAAATGAAGGAGGTGTTCAGAGCTCTATAATCAGACTCTTCTGTGCCACTCTGAAGTACAGTACACACTCAGTTCAGAATACCTTCTCTCATCAGGTTAATTTGTGACTAGTGTGAAGAAAGACACTCTGTGATACCCTCTGTATTTGACTGAGTTCCAGGATAGATTTAGCCATGAAAACAAATGACCCAGTAATAGCTCAAATAATAAATTTATTATTAATAAATTTGAGTGTTTCTGAGATCTATGAATAAGACAAGTCAGAAACCTCATTACATATTACCTACAGTATATCGATCAGTGTGGAACCAAATTCCTCCTGACTCATGATCCACTGGAAGCTGCTCATGGGAATAATGTGTTGGTAATGGATACATGGATAGATGTGGGCCAGGAAGAGGAAAGGAAACACAGGCTGCAAGATTTCCATGGTTACCAAATAACCATGCAGGTACAGTAAGCACAGAGCTTTAGGATTCAGCCCCAAATCTAGAGAAAGATAATAATAATTCCTTACACTTACTGTCAATAGCACTTTTGTGGATCAACTACAGTCTTCGATACCATCAAAATATTGGGTGGTAAAGAGGCATTGCTGTCATAGCGGAAGCACATACAGAAACAAAACATTAAACCCCTTCTCTTTAAAATGTATCTGAGATGTAGGAGAAGACTATGAAATAAAAACTAGAGATGAAAGCCATCCTTCAAAATCTCCATAGCTCTGAAGACTGAAGACTGAAGACAAGGTAAAGCTGAAGCTTTTGGCAAGACTTGATGAACAATTAAATCTCTACTTCTAAAAGATACAAAAATGTCTGGTCAGGATGCAGCTATTGCTGAGCAGAATCTGTTGCCTAAACACAGACAGGGCTTTGTCTTACTTTTGTTCTGTTCGATCCCAAACCTAACTTTGGCAGATTGGGTACTATGGTGGATAAGAGCTAACTCTTCACACCAGCCAAGTGTAACAGATTCTAGTGCAGCTGCCAGTTTATTATTATTAATTAATTTGGCTGCCAGTTTTATCTGTAGAGATTCCCATTTGGGTTCATTTATGCAACTGGCCATTTTACTGGACAATCTCAGATAAGGACCTTGCCTAAGGTCACAGTATTACAGTCCCACCCAGGATTTTAGCACATGATCAATCAGTTGTGACCAGCACTCGAACCACTACCGCACAGTGCCTTTTTAACTGCAAAGTGTTTTCTCGTTTGGTTAGTAGGAACTTGCCCAATCTCAAAAGACTCCAAAGACTTCAAAGTGAGCAACGTTGAGCTACATTCTCACCAAATATTGTTGAATATAAGGGCAACAGGATAGGAGAGACAGACTCTCTGCATGATGAGCACCATACTTAATTGCTAATAAAGTCTAATCATATCTTACTTCTCAATGTAACATAAGGCATTCCATCATGACAAATGCATTTCATAAATAATATCTTCATACGTAATTCTTTCAGTATGTAGCACACAGTGCAGTGTTAGATTTGTGGCTGATTACCAGAAGGTAATGACTCTGACCCTGACTGCCCTGGGCTTCAGCTGTTGCCTATGCAGATGATGGTACATATACTGTACATTTCCAAGCTTGTTAAAAACAGAAGTTCCCTTGTTTTTTTGTTTTTTTCACTTTTTGGTCTTGTTATTTCCAGGGGACTGATGTTGTCCTTGTTGACAGATTACAGCCCCCAGACCCCAAAGCCCAATTTCCGATCCTGAGATGCATAGGATGTTACTTCATTAAGTAGCATAAGAATAAATGTTTTTCTAGCCTGTTGTACAATTATAGGTTTTGTATAGTGCTTGGAAAGGTTGGTTACACAGGTTTTACTCTTCCTAATGTATTTATCTTTAATAATAATAAATAATAATAATAATAATAACATACACTTATATAGCACATCAGCTATCAGTGGGATAGAGAACAGAGTAATGAAGCCAATTCATAGATGGGGACTTTTAGGAGGCCATGATTGGTAAAGGCCAATGGGAAATCAGTCCAGGACACCAGGGTTACAGCCCTACTCTTTTCAAGAAACGCCCTGGGATTTTTTAATGACCACAGAATGTCAGGACATCAGTTTTACCAGTTTTACATCTCATCCGAAGGACGGCACCTTTTTAGGGTATAGTGTCCCCGTCACTATACTGGGGCATTAGGACCCACAGAGACTGCAGGGTGAGCGTCCCCTGCTGGCCCCACTAACACCTCTTCCAGCAGCAATTGTAGTTTTTCCCAGGAGGTCTCCCATCCAGGTACTGACTGGCTTCACTTCACTATATAAAATATATATATATCATATGTAATATACTGTATATATTATTTACCTTAAACACTAAACAAATACGATTGCATTAATGTGATTGGAGGCAGATGTGAGGTTTGCAGGAGTGCCCTTCAACTGGGCAGAGTGACCCCTGTGGTGTGCAGGGGGCAGGAGGGGGAAGTGAATGGGCTTTTATCTTCTAACTGGCACTTCGTCTTTCTTGTATCTGTCTCAGCCTGCGTTATATAAGTAGGAGACTGAGAAAATAGAACGTGGTTAAAGATGTTTTACGATTGCAGCAAGTCCATGCCTAAGGACAGCTGTGAGACAAATAACTGCCAGTCTTAATTTCTTTTCTCATTCTGAAAGGCATGTTACAAGCATAAGCCTTTCAAGAGCAATATTTCAGGTTCTTCATAAACGCTTACGAAGAAACACTACCACCCTCTTGAGTATGCCAAATGAACGTCTACACACACACCAAAAACGGTTTCATATAAAAATGTCAGTCTTCATTTTTTCCATCCATCCATCATCAAAAAGCTGCTTATCTGTAGCAGAAGTCACAACCCATGAGCCTGCCAGCAGAACAGGGCACTAGACAGGATTATACCACATTGAAACTCACACAGAAAATAATGAAGAGACAATGTAAAGAGAAAATTATCTTTGGAAAATGGGAGTGAATACAGACTCCACACAGAAAGTGCACTTTGAAAGCTCATGGTTCCTGTAGTATTCTTGAAACGCATGTTGACTTTCAGAGAATGGCATCCCTTCAAGTCCTCAAAATATCCCTTAAAGTGGTATTCACAAAGCTCTGAGCCTAGTGTCCCAGAACATGATGCTTGCTGAGTACAAAACAAGAACTCAGTGTGAGAAGAATCTAAACTTTCACTAACACCGAGCTTGAGCACTGGTGCATTTAAGTTGCAAATTTCATAAACATTACTGTCACCTAACAGATTTCGGTGTGGCACATAATTGCATAAAGATTAACAAACTCATACAAAATCAACATGCTGTTTAAAACATCATTACATCACAGAAAAAAAAACGTCACATTCTTCAACTTCACATCACAAAAATTGAGACCTGTTTCTTCTCTTGAATACTGTTCTCTTGATCTCTTAAATATTGTAAAATCCCCATGTGTCCAACTACATTGGAAAAAGAATGCAGAAACATGACAGGAACATGATAAATGTAAATGTCATTTTAGAGAAAGAGTAGTCTACTCCTCACATGTTGAAACACTTTTATCATTAGGATAATGCAAATGATGGAATAGGTGTTAAAAAAAGAAATCAGTTTATAAAGAATGAAAGTAACACTGATAGTAAAATTCTCCTCCCCAGTCCAAGTTTCCCACATCTTCCAGCTCCAAAAGCATAAAGAAGACCATTCTCCAGTGTCAGGAAGAAGACACGCGTTAGTCAGAAATCAGCAAAGTACACTAAATTACTATCATCTAGACTCCGTGAATACATATCATACATTTACCTGCTGACTTCCTTAGGAAAGACTAAAACTATGTTCAGAAAATGCGAGTGCTCTTAAGGCTCCCGCCGTTAACTCAACAGCTGGCCAATGAACCCTCTCAGTCTTTTATTAATCCAGCATGTCTATTCTTGCTTAAACCCTACTTACACCGCATTACGCACCAAGTTCCACCTTGCCCTAGATGAGCCGCTATAAATCATTCAGACGTTTCTGATTTTTAATGCAAACGTTCAGCTTTGCCTTCATAGGGATCTCTAGCTCATATTAGACCCCTCCCATCTTTGCAGCTATTCGTTTGGCTTAACGAGAACCTACATTTAACCGGACGGGTGTGGTAGTGGTTGGAAGTCGGAACACCTTAAAGGTGTACTGGAGCAGAGATTTTTTTTTGGACCAATGACGTTAGCCTTTGATTGTAAAACTTAGAAACAGCAGAGTTCTCGGAAATTAACGATGTCTCATCTCAGGAGATCATTGGCCTTTGCTTGGAAAACTTTTCCTGGCATGCACGTGCGAAACTTTCGGTAAGCGGAATTTAAGAAATTATTTCTGTGACGTTTATTTTTTTTTCTTAGGGTAGGTACATAGTCATGTCAGCAGATTTACAAATACCTTTTGGGAGTAAAATGTGCATTTATAGCTGTAAATGTGTATTTGTAGTAGTGTGTAGTGTTTTGGCCAGGCGCTTAATTAACTATAGGATAATAAATCCCTTGAAATACAGTATAGTGGTTGAAGACTAGAAAAATAGTCCCTGCTTTATTTTTACAGTAAAATATTAGTTGTAGTGTCTGTGACGTTTATTGAGTTGATTGATCACAATCATACATTTACCATGATTTTACTGTTTTGCGACATGTTACTGTGGATTTACTATGGTAAATCTACAGTATATCACAAACCTTTCAAGCGCGATTTGGACTGATGTTATCGATCCAAAAATGGTGAGCAGTGGGGAACACACACAGTATCTTCATTCAGAACAGAATATTAAATGTAATCTAATCTTAATATTTTCGGTTTAAGATTAGTGAGTCAAAGGCATTGGAAGGGGCCGGAAAAACTTCGGAATGCAATTTATTAAATGTGAGAACAATTAAAGCATTCACTCAAATTGGGGAAACTCTATGCAGAAATCAGTCTTACGTTTTTTTTTCTCTTTCATGCCGTTTCCATGTATACTAAGCATCAATTAACATCAGCCTGGTATTCTTTTTGAAGAATAAATAGGCCTACACGGATTTGTGAAACGGATTAAATGTTTTACTCGCATTATTTGTGATTGATTACTTATTCATGACCGCCTGTGTACACTCAAGTGACGTTAACATTTGCTTTAACCACTAAATCATCTACTTTTCGTGAGAATTCATTGCGTACTGGTGATAAGTCGATATGAACTTTTTAGAACGTCAGGAGCGTTTTCCCGAAACCTCATACAATTATCAAACTACCTGGATTGTGTGAATCTTTTCACAACCTTCACTGTGTCATTTCTTCGCGAATATTCTCAACCCAGAGGCATTTTAAAGACCGCAATGTGTGAAATCTTTCACAGCCTTAATGTAATGTAATCAGCCAACGGTCTCTTAATAAACTATTGGTAAAGTTTATTAGCTAGACAGGCTGAATGGCCTCTTGTTTTTTGTAACATTTCTGGAATGCAAAACCATTAGACACTATTGATGAATAAGCAGCCACCCCATACCGCAGAGTATACAGTAATAGCTATGTTTGAAAACCAAGAAGACAGGAAGGAAAAGTACACCTTTTCTCAGGATAACTCCCCTCATAAAGAATCATAAGTACCAGTTCCAATATGCCAAAAAAAAAACAGTTTGTCTTAAGAGAATTGTTAAGTTTCAGAACCAATGTGAAATGAAACACTGGAAAAACAGAAATTACTGGAAGCCACTTATTAACTATTGCCTGTATAATGTTGCTGTATTCAAAAATTCATAAAAAAATAAAGAAAAGTTTTACAAATCAAAGCTAGGCTGTGAAAGGTCAGAGGGCTGCCCAGTGTGTAAAAACTTGGTTACAGCATCGTGAGTGTTGTGGTGAAAAAGCTATTGACTCATGAAGAGCACCCCCCATCCCAGTGTATCTCCTGTCTTATGGTGTCATATTAACATTTTGTAGGGTCAAGGGTTATGGTTACTATGTACAAGACTTTGTTTGAAGTTCATGGGCGCTGTTTTTAAAAAGCTGTTGAGTACAGAAGAGGATCTTTCCTGCTGTCAACATCATTGCATACTGTATGTACAGTAGTTGACCCCTAATTAAATGATTACAGGGCATAAAGAAAGGGTTTCAGAAATCAAATAAAGTTTGAACCCAGTTCTTACTGTCATGCCCTCTGCAGCCAGAGGGCGCTCCTTCTCTGTCCTGTCTCTAGTTTCCGGTTCTCTGCTGTCCTTCCGGTGTTTCTCTCTCTCTGGGGCTATATATTTCCGGGTCTTTCATTCTGCCTTCGCTCAGCATTGACGTTCGGATGTCCTGAGCCTAGCCTAGCACCAGGTCTCCCCATGGCATTTCCTGAACAGCTGAGCCCGGGCTAACCCCCGTCTCGCCGCAATGCATGGGGTCTTTTCGCTCTCCTGCCATTCCACAGTTCATCCCTTCTGACATTCGTGACACTAACAGGCTTCATGTGTTATTCTACTGCAGGTGGTTCGCATGAACACGTATTGAGCAGTATTTCTCGCATTGTGAACGTACTGTATGCAGCGATCCTGCAGTGTTCCAGTTGCTGTGTAATTGTGCATCAATCAAAAAGCTTTATAAAACGTTTATAAAAAGATAATTAACTAGGTTTTTGTAAAGGTTGAGAACATGTTTACAAATTGCAGTCTTTAAAATGCATTTGGTTTGAAGGCTTTCTGTGTTTCCTTTGCAAAGGTATTGACATCAGAATCTTCCTGTGTGGGGGAAGAAAATGACATACAAATGACAAAGCGAAGACACTGAAAACACTCACAAATCACTTTATACACAACGCAAGTGTTTTTATAACTCTAGGAGGTTTTGGGGAAAATGCTATTGACGTTCCAAAAAGAAATATTGAACTTCTAGCTAACTTCAGAAGGTGAAAATAGAGAAAGAAAAGCACAGAAGTGTGTCCAACATTAAGTGATAAAGGACCACCTTGAGTGTAGAGACCACCTTGACGGATTTTGGCGAGTGTGGTTCAGACATACAGAACAGTATGCTAAGTATTTGCTGTATATAGGAACAGATCTGTCAGTGGAAAGGTCCAAGTGTGGCGGTCTGGCCAGGAGCAGACACTACCAAATGACACCGGTAGTGACTGGTGCCCCCCTGACTGCAAGGCGCTACATTGATCAAGTCCTGGGACCTCACTTGCTGCCCTTGCTGTGATCTCACCTGCCATCATAGTATGGCAGCAAGACTACACATGCCTTTATACTTTATACTCGTGCAAAAAGAGCATGTGATACTGTAGGTTATGCTGTAACTCAACAGACTGGAGCTCAGTTGTTTATTTATGGAATGAGGTGTGGCATCTAGGGCTCAGAGACCAGTGAACAGGCAAGAAAGCTGTCAAGACTCTACCCAAGGAATAGGGTAGAATCCAATGAGACTGCATTCACAATCTGGTCCAAAGTATGCACCAGAGATGTATGATAAAAATATTTCAACACAAAACTGTACAAGTATCTCCACATCTGGAGGTACTGTATAAATTGATATTGTGCTTCTAGTGGTGACCACACATGCTTGTTATCCTGTGACTTTACTGTGGACCCCTGACTGATGAAGAATGTTAATCGGCAAGATGGATTAATGTTGTCTGTCTAAAAAAAAAAAGTCAGTGCACCTGCTGCAAAAAGATACTCATTTTTCTAATAATAAGTTTGTGCCTTTGTTGCTCCTATAGTCATAGATTTCTTTTGATGCTCAGTGTACATTGCATGCTGTAATGAGCGAATAATCCTAAATGTTAGCAAAAAAACTGATTCCTGTGCTTCGTTCATGCATGTTAAATTTATTCACTTGTTTAATTTGTGGGATGAAAATTCTGGTTGCATGGAAATTGAGTGTAGTAACTGCTTTTTTGCAGAGTTGGACAGGTTACCTTAAGTGCTGTAAATCTGAAGGGTCGCAGTTTCTTAACACTGAAGGATTTCACCTCGGAGGAGATAAAGTATCTTCTGTGGATGTCAGCTGACCTGAAACACAAAATTAAAGAGAAAGGACAGGTACAACATTTAACATACAGACTGTTAAATGTCAACTGGTCTGTCTTCATGTCATAATTGTGTTTCAACTTTAATTTTTTTTTTTTTTACATGGGACTGCTGTAACTGCAGTGAACATGGAAAATATTTTCTCTATCTCTGACCGTTAAAAAGTGATGTGTGAAAAGTAAACTTAAGCATTTGCCTGTGTTTCTTCAGTGACATCCATCTTGCTGTTCTAACACTAACCCTGGGTACAGCTGTGAATGAAAGAAGCTCTAATTATTCTTCCTTCAGGAAGAAGAGTGACATGGCAGCACAGTGGGGGCACTGTTATTTCTCTTTACTTGCAGTTTCAACAGTGAAGACGGCAGCGTCTTTCATTGTTAAAGTCTCACGGGGCCTTTTTCTCTACAGCATCTCCCTTTGCTTCAGGGGAAGTCTCTTGCCATGATTTATGAAAAGAGAAGCACCAGGACCCGCATGTCCACAGAAGCAGGTTAATTTCTGGACCGTCCCGTACCGATACTTGTTTAAAACGCATCTATTTTCTGGCTAAATAAATTAAGAATTTTATGTTACTTGAAGGTAAATATTGAACATATATTAATATTGGATCTGTTCCCATATGTATAGTGTATGCCTGAATTACTGTCGGGTACATGTTATTGGGTAAGAGACGAGCCTGCATGATACCAGGCCTTTGCAATTTATGGTGTTTTCCGTGTTCTGCATTATTGTGTCAAACCTCCAGAGGCCTTGTTGTAAATACAGTACATAATAGAAGTGCTGAATGGGATGTATCAGAACTACAGGCTACACAACGGAACCGCAGAGCCAGCACAATGCACATTGTCTGTGCTATATAATCATGGCATTCTTTCTGAACCGGCTCCACACTGTTTTGGCAGTCTTGCTCTCAACCCTGTTATCGGTCGAGTTCAATGAACAGGGGATCAGTTTTGTCTCCCGTTCAATTCCCAACACATCTCGTTTCCAGAAGTATTTAAGATTCCCTTATACCATGCAAAAATAAGAATAAGAAATGTATTATTATAACTGCAGCAATTCTACGAAGTGAAAAATGAGAACCTTTATTAGCAAGAGCATTGAGATTCTGTTGGACATACTGTACATGGCAGAAGGTCTACTATGAGAATTGGAGCCTAGTAGTGTGTTGCAATACAAGCTATTTATCTATCTGTGACTGTATACCAGGCTCTGGTTGCTGTCCTGTGGAATTCTATCCCATTCCCATCGAAGGAGCTGGGCAAGCTTGTGTCTGTTCACTGGTCTTTGAGCCTTAAATGCCACATCACAGCTCACTGCATCATTTTCATTGAGCACAAATGTTCATTGGTGTTCAAGACTGGTCCATAGGGCATCCACTGTTTAACTGTCACAGTCTCATCTCACATGAAAGCTGTTGTTACATGAGGATTATGAAGACTTGTGTTGTCCTAGCGGACTTTTTGTCATATCTGGAAGAACGGCCAGTTGAGGTTCCTGGACTTGGCTACTGTGTGCTATTTGGTTGCTTTTA